ATATGGCATGCATGCTCCCTGGAGAGAGAGGAACAGTGAGAAAACACTCTCCACAGGGATGGCCATGCTGCAGTCCCTTCTTCTTCATTCTCCTCCTGAAATTTTGGGCATGCACACACATGCACCAGGTGTGTTTTTCGAGCTGCTGGGTCCAGGAGTTGAACTGTGCATTCAGTCATGTGGGAACCAGCTGCTTTAACCACCACGCCACTGGCTGGCCCAGGTTGTCTTCTAGACTAGATGTCCCTCTCTCCAAGTGAGGAGGACCCTCACTTGTGCTGGGTGCTGCTCTTCTCATGTGTTTACACTGACCTGTCACGGTGGTCCATTTCTTCCAACAAACTCAGATTTTGAATCTGGGCTTAGCCATCGCCCTTCTCAAAGAGCCGTTCTGGGACTGACATGGTTCTCAAATGACTTTTGTCTGGGCAGAGACAATGGGGTTTCACTTGCTCCTGCTCTAGACACTATTTTAAAAACCTAACATTGTGGGGCCAGCAGGTGGCATGGTGGATAAGTGCGCTGGACTCCCACATGGCTGACCACGGTTCGAGTCTCGGACCTGGTGGCTTGCTTTCTCACTTTCTCTCTCTCTCTGTCTTTCTGGTCAAATTAAAAAAATAAAATGAATGAATAAATAAAATTAAATAAATAATTCTTTAAAAAACCCCAAAAAACCAAAACCAAACCAAAACAAAACAAGAAAACCCTAACATTGTAAAATGTGTGCTGCTAAAATTGTCCTGCTTTTTAAAACGAAGCGATTTCATCACACTGCTGACTCATGTCCTAGTGGTAGCGATCTCGCACTGCCAGGCTTTTCCACTCCACTCCACGGTCCTCTCCCGTCTGGGGCCCGTGCAATGAAAATCCTTAATAGGAAGATTTTTCATGCATCCTTATTGAATTTAATTTTGCTGGTTTTGGTCTTTGTCTCAGACTTTTTTCTGAATCCTATTTCCATCCCTTAGTATTTTAACCTTCTTTTCAACTTAAAACAATCAACAAGTTTGAGAAATAAGTGTGCACTACAGTGGTTCCTTCCTGTCTTGACACCTACAAGGGCGAGACTTTGTGGCTGCTATTGTGGTTGGAAATGTGGAGCAGCCTGAATGTGGCCCCTGGGCATGCTCTGCTCAGTTACACAGTGTCATGAAAATTTCGAATCAGCCGAAACTTGGAAAAGTAGGGAAGTTGACATGAAAACTTACACATTTCTAATTTCATTTATAAAATGGGACAGTATGCTTCTCTGACTGCTATTCTTGCTGGGGCTGAAACCCGAGTAGTCCATTTTGAGAGATGCCTCAGTCTCTGCTGGGTAGGGCCTCTCCAGCCATGGAGCTGGTACTCTGGTCCTCCTCCTCTGAGAGTAACCAAGTGAGTTGGCAGTGCTTCTCACCCCAGGCCGCTCCACCCTTCCCCTTCCCACTGTCGGATAGTCTGGGCTTCTGGGTCTGAGATTCCTGCTTAGCATTTCTGGGGATCTAGCGTTCCCTCTTTTCAGCCCTCCCTTTCCTACTCAAAAACCAAGAACAAGGGCAGAACGACTAAAAGGTAAAAGACGAAAAACAAAAACCAAACATACAAAAGACCCCAAACAATCCTGTTTACAAGAGCTGTGGCCTCAGGCTTCTGATCTGTATTTTTTTAATGAAAGAGATTTTCGACAGGGTCTCACATGCTGGGATCCTCTCTCTCCAGCCTCCCAGTTAGCTAGGGTTACAGGTGTGTCTAGGTTGGACTGGATTCCTGGATTCCAGTCGGGGCCTTCCATGGGGCTCCTCCTGTGTGCAGCGGTGCCCCACCTGCTGTGCCACCAGGGCTGGGCCTTCACTTCGGCTTCTTGGGAAGATGTCCTCAGGGCAGTTTCTAAAGGAAAACACAGAGCAGTGGGGGAGACAGAGGCAGGCCTTGCCAGCTGGAAGGACTGAAAGCAGGGTAGGCCATCCTCCTAAAAGTGGAATCCAAACCAATATTCACCGCCTTAGCCTTCCGGCATAATCCCTTCCTACCTTTCATTTGTGTAGAGGAAATGGGGTCATATTAGAATACCTTTACTATAGTTTCTGTCTTCTACCTGGCAATATATTGTAGACATTTTCATGTTCTCTAACTCTTACCCTTTTGTTAAAAAAAAAGATTTTCGCATTGAGGTGAAATTTATGTAACACAAGATTAACAATTCGAAATGAACAATTTAGAGCATCTACTATATCCATACTGTTGCACGCTTACCACCTGCATCTACTTCCGAAATATTTCATCACTCCAAAGGGGAACTCCGTACCCATCCAACAGTTTCTCTTTCTGCCCACCCCCCCCCACCACCACCACCAGTCTGTCTTCTGTCTCTGTGGATTTACTTATTCTGGATATTTGATACAAATGAATCATATAGTATGTAAACTTGGGCATCTGACTTCTTTCACTTAGTGGAATGTTTCCAAGGTTTATTCACTTTGGAACATGTTCAGCGCTTCATTTGTCTTTTCACCTGAGCACTATTCCTTTGCACAATTTGTTTTTCCATTCATCTGTTGATGGCCATTTGGACTATCATGAATGGGTGACGGTGAATGGACTATCTACTATGAACATGCGTGTACATGTGTGTGAGTGGGAGTACATATGCTATGAATGAAGTTGCTAGGTCATATGGTACTTCTAGGTTTAACTTTTTAAAAATATAGATAGAGTTGGGTCAACAGGTGGCGTGATGGTTAGGGCACTGTATTCCTACATAGCTAACCACGGTTCCAGTCCTGGACTTGGCAACTTGGAAATCACAATAAATAAATAAGTGTTCAAAAAAATTAAAAATATATAGATAGCATCTCACTGTGACAGTCTTCCTGCCTCAGGTTCCCAGCTGGAATCACAGACATGTGTCATGATGCCTGGCCTTCAGGTTGATGGGGAATTGAACTCTGGTCTTCCATGTGGTCCCAGCCTACAGAGCACAGTGCCTGAGCAGTGTATGCCACTGTGGCTGGGCCTACAGTTAACTTTTTGATGTACTGTCTAACTTCACAGTGGCTACATCCTTTTTCATTCCCACTGCAATGTATAAGTTTCCCATCTCTCCAAATCCTCACCAACATTTGTTAGCTTCTTTAATTAATTTATTTTTAAAATCATAGCCATCCTAGTGGGTATGAAGTAATTTTTTTGTGGCTTTGAGTTACATTTCCTTAGTATATATCATTTATTTATTTATTTTCTAAAGAATTACTGTGAGCCGGCAGGTGGAGTGGTGGTTAAGGGTGTTACACTCCTAGATGGCCAACTGTGGTTTGAGTCCTGGACCTGGAGCCTTGCTTTCTCACTTTGTCTCTCTCCCTCTCACTCTTTTACTCTCTCATTCTCTTACTCTGTCACTCTCTAATCAAATAAAAAATAGTTAAAATATTTACTTATTTATATATTTTATATTATTTATTATTATTTTTCAATTTGACCAGAGAGAGACAGAGTGAGAGAGAGTGAGTTTCAAGCCACCAGGTTCGGGACTTGAACTGTGGTCAGCCATGTGTAGCTATGACGCATGATGTAGCCATTACACCATCTGCTGGTCCCATATATATTTATTTTTAAGATTTTTTTTTTTTTTTCTGTAGGGCATGTGTGCTCACTGGAGAGAGTCAGAGAGACAGAGAGAGGAAAAGTGAGAAATCATTCCCCAGGGGGAATGGCCATGCTGCAGTCGTTTCTCCTCCACTCTCCTCTTGGGATTTTGGGCATACATGCCTGGTGTGATTTTCTTTTTTTTCTTTAAGAGTTATTTAATTCCATTTGTTATTATTATTTTTTTAGTTTGACCATACAGAGACACACAGAGAAAGAAAGGGAAAGCAAGAAAGCAAGCCACCAGGTCAAGGACTCGAACCATGGTTGGCTATGTGGGAATCCAGAGCCTTTATCCACTGCATCACCTGCCAACCCTGCCTGGTGTGATTTTCAAGCCTCTAGGTCCAGGACTTGAACCGTAGTTGGCTATGTGGGAGTCCAGTGCCCTAAATACCATGCTACCTGCTGGTTCCTTACATTTGCAGTTTAATAGCACATAGCAATTTAATAGCTACACAACATGATCCACTATTGTAGGATCTATAAATACCAAATTCCTGGCGTTCTCAGCGGGAATGGACGGATTTTAAGCAAGTCATTTACTTCCTCCAGGTCTCAGTTTTCTTTGTGAAATGGAGGGATTGGACTAGAAAATTACTGTTAATTTCCACATTGGAAGTTGTATGATTTTTTTGCAAACATAATTTATTTTAGTATATATATTTCACAGATCATATTTTACATTGCTATGTAATAATCATAAATATAATTGCTCCTTAAATTTTTTTGGTAAATCTCTAGGCCCTTGAGCAGAGATTCTACGTATGTAATGGTGTTTTGGTGACACACAGGCACACTCACACATATTAATGATGGGTGGCATATGCATATGTTATGGTTGCTTATGATGATAACAGGCCATGCACATAGTAGGTGGTGCCGTCTCGGTTAGTGAACTTACAGTATATGATACTTGTATAACAACGAAATCACCTAAGACACATTTCTCAGAATGTATTGTAACTGTTATGAAGTGACACTACCGTATATATTTTATTTCTGTTGTACTAGATGAGTAATTTTTAATTCTCTAAGGACTTTTTTTTTTTTTCCTTAATTTGCCATAGGGCACATGTGCTTTCCGGAGAGAGACAGACAGAGAGATAGGAAAAATGAGAAAGCACCCCTTATGTGGAGTGGTCGCAGCACAATCCCTTCTCCTCCATTTCTCCATCCTGTTGGGATCTGGAGCACACACACATGCCCAGCAGGCTTTTCAAAGGTGCCAGGTTTGGGACTTGAACTGTGTGGTTGGCAAGGTGGAATCCAGCTGCCTTGCCACTAGGCGATGAGCTGACTCCTCTTTTAGGGAATTTTTACATTGCAGCATTTAGACCACTATAATAACATCTCTCTTTATTGTTAAACAGGTATTTGATTCAGTTCATACTACATATTCTAACTTTAAGAGCAACTTTTGGAAGAGGCTGTCAGTGGAGGTTCCTGTTGCCAGTAGCCCAATTACCACAAGATGGCAGCAAAGTCAAACCAGGGATTTGGCAGCCTGTTCCTTTGGGGAAGAACATTCAATACTTGATCTCCCAGAATCTTCTGGATCAGTACTGAAGATAATACCTGAGAGAGAGACCTTGACTCTAGGTGAGGTGACAGAAATGCCACAGCTCAATTTTGAAACATTACAAAAGGATATATTCCTGAGAGAAACATTTAGTCAACTGCTTTTCTCTTTTTCTTTCATTGAATAAGAATTTCCCAAGATGGGAGGAATGAAACAAAAACAAAACAAAAATATGTTAAAAACCCCGCAACTGTAGGCAAATTAAATTTAAGTTGGAGTAAAGAACAACTTGTGAATCAGCAGTTTTGAGAACCAGGAAAGGTTCAGGAAGCTTCACTCTGAGTCGTGGGCAGGCAGCATTTATGAACAGAAAATGGAAGTTATGCTTTTGGAGCTCAGTGGGTACAGCTCAGCTCAGTGCTTGACTGACTTGAACATGGTCAGAGAGCTTGGCCGCCTGTGATTGACTGAATCTTGGCTGCTGGGATTGACTGAGGCTCCGCTAGTTGTTCAAAAAATATACTCCTTGGCCAGCAGGTGGTGCAATGGTTAAGGTGTAGACTCCCACATGGCAGACTACACAGTTGAGTCTGGACCTGTTAGGTTGAAAATCACGCTGGGAGAGAATGCATGTGTGCTCAGTCCTGAGAGGAGAATGGAGGAGAAGGCAATGTGGTGGGGCCATCCTCCCCGAGGGGGAGTGATCTCTAACTTTCTCTGGTGAGTGCACATGCCCTATGGCAACCGCCCTCCAACCCCCCAAAAGCAGTAATTACTGGCCTAGAGGAAACACAGCACTCTGTGACACTGAGGTCACATAGCAAGGTACCGGGTTCATGTTCCGGGGTACGTGAACACACTGGGCATGTGTGTGTGTGCCCGTGAACCTTACTAACCGAGGCTGGGGGTGTATTCTATGTGAAGACCCTGTTGGGGAGACCTCTCTCTCTCTCTCTTTCTCTTTCATGGAAGAAATAGACTTTAAAAATTGTTTAGAAATGAATTACATATGATTTCTAATTTTCTTTTTTTTTAATGTCTACCATTTTTTTTAAATAATAATTTATTTTATTTTATTTATTCACTCATTGTGTTTTTTAGTTTGACCAGAGAGAGACAGAGGGTGAAAGTGAGAGAGAGAGGAAATGAGAAAGCAAGCCACCAGATTCAGGACTTGAACCCTGGTTGGCCATGTGGGAGTGTCCAGCACCTTAACCACCACGCCACCTGCTGGTCCCTCTAATTTTCTTTTGAATACTCTATTTAGAGTCTCATATGTAGAAGTTATAGTATTTTTAACATTGCCAAGAGACTTAACATTGCCCTTTGTAATTTGTTCTTTTAACCAGTCTTATAAGGAAAATTTTCATTATATCAAATAAAAAGAGATTAAGCAATTACTTAGCTTATTTTTTATTTTTATTTTTTAAAGTTTTTTTTGCTATGGGGGACCGGCAGATGGCATAATGGTTATGTCGCTGGACTCCTACGTAGTGGACCAGAGTTTGGGTTCCATACTGGCGGCTTAAAACTCACACTGGAAAAACAAAAAACAAAAAGGAAACCAAAGAAACTCAGGCTGGTTGTGTGTGCGTGTGTGCCCAAAATCCTAAGAGGAGAATTAATTGTAGCATGGGCATCCCCAAAGGGGGTAATTTCTTGCTTTTTGTCTCTGTCTCTCCAGCAAGCACATGTGCCCCATGACAAAAATTTCTCTCTAAAAAAAGAGAGAATTTTTGCTAAAGAATATGCTTGTTTGCTGGAGAAAGACAGAGAAAGTAAAAAAAAAAAATCACTTTTTTAAAAAAGAATTATTTAACTTTATTCATTAATTTATTATTATTATTTTTTAATTTGACAGAGAGAGACAGAGAGAGAGAGGAAAGGAAAGTGAGAAAGCAAGCCACCAGGTCTGGGACTTGAACTGTGAGAATGCCCAGTGCCTTAACCACCACGCCACCGGCTGCTCCCCCCAAATCACTTTTTTATTGGCAAAAAAGAATACTCCTAAATTAGGCTTTCAATTACTTTATGCACTTTGTTAAGTTGCAGCTATTTATGTCGGAACTCAAAGTACAGAAGCATCTGCAGAGAAAATTTAGTTTAACATGTATTGCATTGAATTTTAAATACGTTTCTGAGTACGCATGAGTATATGTGTGTGTGTGTATGTATGTATACATGCACAAATATGTATTTGCTGTTGGAGTCAAGTCCTTAATTTTGTTCTAGAGGCCACTTATGAACCCAGAGCTCTCAAAAAGACCCAGTCCCATGGGTTTTAGAGAGACAAGAGTCTGGGCTTTTGCATTCCCTTCTGTGAAAGAAGCCATGGCTTGACTGCCAATCAAGATGATTATCTTGTTTTAAAAACCAGATTCAGGAACCAGCAGTTAGCGTAATGGCTATGTCGCTGGACTCCCACGTAGTCGACTGCGGTTCGTGTCCCGGACCCGGTGGCTTAAAACTCATGCCGGGCACGTGTGCGTGCGTGCCCAAGATCCCAAGAGGAGAATGGAGGAGAAGGGATTGTGGCGTGACCATCCCCCCTGGGGGATGATTTCTCGCTTTCTGTCTCTATGTCTCTCTCTGTCTGTCTGGCGAGCGCACGCGCCCTACAGTGAAAATCTCTCCAAGGGGAAAAAAAAAAAAAAAACAGATTCAAAGCAAAATGTCTTTCTTACAGAATCTGACAATGAATCACTGAAGACTCCCATCAACGAAAGTTCTAAAACTAATAACTCTACACTCCATTTTTGCAAGGCACCTCAAGCACTGGACAGAGGCTGGAAGGAAAGTGTTGCCTCTAAAGGCCAGGTGGGTGAAGAGAGAAATTGATGACCCCTCATCTTGAGAAGCTCAGACAACTGAGTCTCAAGTGTGAGGGAAGAGCTGCTTAGTATCCTCTACAAATCTTTAAGAAAATGATGAATTCCTGAGAGAAAAATTAGTGAGTGAAGGGTAAAAACCGAGGCATGACTGAAAGAAAGAAAATATCCTAAAAATATACAATAAAAGAAGCAGCAGATGGTGTCATGGTTATGTCACTGGACTCCCACATAGTCAACCGCTGTTTGAGTCCAGGACCCAGCGGCTGGCTTAAAACTCACACTGGTTGTGTGTGCGTGAGTGCCCAAAATCCCAAGAGGAGAATGGAGGAGAAGGGACTGCAGTGTGGTCATCCACCCTGGGGGGTGATTTTTCTTTCTGTCCTTCTGTCTCTCTCTATCTCTCTGGTGAGCACATGGGCCCTATAGTAAAAATCTCTCTCTAAAAAAAAAGGCACAAGAAAGTATTTAATTAGGACCATTAAAAAAGTGAAAATGAGAATAACTATCAAATAGGTAAAGATGAGAAAAACAATGAAATTATGTATACTATGGTGTGTCTCCTGCCAACCAAAAGATCTGCTACATATATTTCCAAGTATACAGTGACTGAGTCTGCTCTTTTGGGTCTCTCAGGATAAATTCAATTCTTCTTTTAGAAGATGGCCTTTTATGGCCAGTTGGGTAGTGTGGTGGTTAAGGCAGCTGGATCCCACATGGCCAACTGTGTGGTTCAACTCCTGGGCCAGGCAGCTTGCCAGGTAAAAAAAGAAAAGAAAAAGAAAAAAAAAAAAAAAACCATGCCAGGGAAATGTGTGTGAGTGCCCAAAATTTCAAGAGGAGCGGGGGTTGTAGTGCGGCCATTTCTCCTGGGGGGTGCATTCTTACTATCTCTCTCCCTCTTTCTCCAGCCAGTGCATACACCCTATGGCAAATTTAAAAAAAAATAAAGAAGACAGTCTTTTAAATATTTCTCTTAAGTCTTTGCTGTTGTTGCTTGTTTCTCGATTAGTTCATTTATTTCTTTTAGATATCTCTTATTTATTATAGTTCTAAGATCTTAGGAGTCAAAGTCTTTTGCATACATTAAATGTCAGTAACCTATTTTCAGGTTTATCAAATTCAGCCAAGAGCCTCTGAGGAAATCAATGTTTCATTTGAAAAACTATATACTAAAAAAATCATAAATTTCCCGTTTAGACAAAATTATTCATTTAGTGTGTGTCTCCTGTGTTTGGCATATATATCTTGCTAGAAAAACAATAAAATATTATGAATATAAATTTTAATGATTTGTGCTCATATGCAGTTGGAAACGAATCCATTAAAAAGGTCTTTTGTTGGGTGACTTATTGTTGGGTATAGGTTTTGGGGACGGGGGATGACCGGAGACTTCTGAGTCAGTTAGGGGGCACTGTTGAACTCACGCCTGGGCCAGATTATTAACACCACAGTCTTTGCAACCATCTATTGCTGATTGGAGTTTTTGCTGTTGTGTCCCTCGAGACTTGCCTATATCTTCCTTTTATCCTGCCTGGAACTGGAGGCAGAAAAGTTTGTGGCTCTGACTGTGGGACACAGTGATGGTGGCAAGACACTTACTGCAATTGTTACACTAGCCAAAAAACATCGTCCCAGCGGCACTGAAGAACCAGGGCAGGGAATAATGGAAACTTTTACTACCTTATGTAAAGCATTTGTTGTCATAACTCTCAGTAGTTAGGAGTCAAATAGCATCAAGAGTGGTGAAGACACAGTCTTTCCTCTATGGTAAACATGTGGTTTTCATGTGCTTCTTGCCAATCATCTTGAGAGCGTGTGTGTGTGTGTGTGTGTGTGTGTGTGTGTATATATATATATATATATATATATTTCCATTAACACCTTTAGGAACATATGTATATGTTTATGCACATATTTCTAAAGAAATTCTCTTTATGTGTGTTTGTTTTCAGAAATGCCTAAGCCAGCTATTTTCAAGCCAGGAGGTTCTGCAGGGGAATGGGAAAATGCAGCTCTGTGAGCCGTCCCAGTGTACTTGGGAAGGTATGGGGCACAGACTTTGTTTATCCTTTTTTCCTACCTTCCTCTCTCCCTGCCTCCTGTGTTTTTTGTTAAAAAATATTTAAAAGTATTTATTAGGCTAAATCAACATGATTACACAATTTGAACAATTCTTATAATCATCTACCCTAAATGTCCCACCCCCATGTCCCATTATTTTCTTTCTTTTTGAAAAAAAAAATTGTCAGAGATTGTGTGTGCTTGCTGGAAAGAGACAGAGAGAAAGAGAGAGAGCGAACAAGAGCGGTCCCCCCATGGGGGATGGTTCTGCTACCATCCTTATCCTTCTCTTCCTTTTCATCCTCCTTTAGGGATTTTGGGTATGCATGCACACACGTGTGGTGTGTTTTTCAAGCCACTGGGTCTGGGACTCAAAATGCACAGTCAATCATGTGGGATCTGGCTGCTTTGACCATCATGCCATTGGCTGCTCCCCCAAGCTCTTTTCCTAGAGGCAACCATCCTTAATTTGTCCAGCTATCTACCCAGATACTTACCTCTGTTTTCTAAATAATATTGATTAACTGCTATTGCCGATAATTTTAGACTTTCTCATGACTTTCTAGCATAGTAGATAATAACTTAGTTTTACTTAGTTTCATTCAGTTTCTTGCCATGCTCATGGCACAGTTTGAAAAAGTAAAATTAGATTCAGACAGTGGTGTAGTAGAAAACACAATGCACTACAAGGCAGTCCCACACAGGAAGGTTCTTGGTTCATGACTGGAGACCTCCCTGAAGACACCAGGCACACAGTTGTTTATGATCTGGGGCTGGCTGAAGGCTGGGGATAGATTGTGGAGTCAAGACCTTGTTGGTGGTGCTTTCTTACTATCTACCTCTTTTTCATGGAAGAAAGAAATAAACTAAAGAATAAAATATAATTAGTCAATGTTTACATCATATTACCATACAATTATTATTCACTACCAAGCCAAGCTATATACTGTAATTATGCTTCTTTTCCAGTAAAACTGTTTTTCTTAGAACCAAAAGGTGCCTTATTGTTATTATTTTTTCATTTACTAGATACCAAAGAAGCTATTAGGATTTCTTGACCAGTTGCACAGTTGTAATCTGGGACTTCTCCTCCCTGACATTAGAGCCACCATGTCCTGGCAGCTACGCTGGCCTTTCTTTGGATGTGCTGGTTTGAAAATGTCCTTATTCTACTCTTATGTTTGATTCGTCATTTCCCTGGCTGTAAATTCTAGTTTTAAATTTTGTAAGTAAGTACAGCTTTATTGTTGTTAGTAGTGCTCACTGTATTGTTGAGAAGTTATCTTCTATTTTGCCTTCCTGTACTTTATATGCCTCGTGCTTTTTCTTTCTGGATGCCCTTAGCAGAAATTTCATGATGACAAGGCTTGTTTTCCATGTGTGTGTTTAATGAAAAAATAAACTCATTATAAATGAAAAGCCCATTTTCAGTCTTGGTGACCCATGTCCTATGGCTCTTGAACAATTTCTTGAATGATTCTTTAATTTCTTCTTCTTTGTTTCTTTTTTTTTCTCTCTGAAACTATTGTGTTGGTTCTTCTGGACTGATTTTCTAATTTACTTATCTTTTCTATTTTCATCTCATAAAAAATATCTTGTGGGTGATTATCAGCCTTATTATTAATTATTTTTATTTTGGCTATCTTAGTTTTAATTTTTAAAAAGTTTACTTTTTGATTTCTTCCATAAGAGAGAGACACAGAGACAGAGAAACCCTCAACAGGGTCTTCATGCTGCTCTCTATTTCCAACTTCAGCCAGCCTGGACTATGGGTCTGTTCAGGGCAGCCTTGGGATGTGGACCTAGAACCTTCTCATATGGGTCCAGCATCTCAGAGCATTGTATTACTGCTGCGTCGCTGGCCAGAATGTTGGCTATTTTGGGTCTTTTACATTTCCATATCACTTTTATTTATTTTTATTTTTATTTTAAGAAAGATTTTTGCTATAGGAGGTATGTGCTCACTGGAGAGACTGAGAGACAGAAAGTGAGAAATTACCCTTCCGGGGGATGGCCATACCACAATCCCTTCTCCTCTCTTCTCCTCTTGGGATTTTGGGCATACACCCACATGTGCCAGGTCTTGGGATTTTGGGCATACACCCACATGTGCCAGGTGTGGTTTTCAAGCCACTGGGTCTGGGTCTTGAACCACAGGCAGCCATGTGGGATACCAGCACCTTAACCATTATGCCACCTGTTGACCTCTATTTGTATTGATTTTTTAAAAAAATAATTATTTATTTTATTTATTTATTCATTCATTCATTTATTTCTTAATTTGACCAGAGAGAGACAGAGGGTGAGAGTGAGAGAGAAAGGAAGTGAGAAAGCAAGCCACCAGATTCAGGACTCAAACCCTGGCCGGCCATGTGGGAGTGTCCAGCGCCTTAACCACCACACCACCTGCTGGTCCCAGTATTGATTTTTTTTAACTACTAGAGGACATGTATAAGAGAGACAGAGAGAAAGCACCTCCTACTGGGTTGTGGTTATGCTACAATCTCTTCTCCATTTCTCTATCCTTCAGGATTCTGAGCATGCCTGCTCACATACCCAGCATGTTTTCTCGAGCTACTGTGGTTAGAATTCAAACCAAGGTCAGTCATGTGGGATCTGTTAACCAGTAGGCAATGGGGTTGATCCTCCATATAACCTTTAGAATCAGTTTGTCAATATCCACAAATTAATTTGCTGGGATTTAAAAATATATATATTTCTTTAAATAATTATTTGTTCAATTAAAAAATTATTATTATTTTTAAAATTTGACCAGAAAGAGACAGATGGGGTGGGGGAGGGAGATAGAGGGAAAGTGAGAAAGCAAGCTGCCAGGTTCAGGACTCAAACTGTGGTCAGCCATGTGGGAGTCCAGCGCCTTAACCACCATGCCACCTGCCAGCCCCAATTTGCTGGGATTTTGATTGGAATTGCATTGACTATACAGATCAGGTTGGGAATATCTGACATCTTAGTTATATGGAGTTTTCTTATTTTCATACATGGAATGTCTTTCCACTTATTTATATCTTCTTTTATTTTTTAAAGATTTATTTATTTATTTACTATTATTCATTATTATTATTATTATTTAATTTGACCAGAGAGAGACAGAGAGAGAGAGAAAAAAGGAAAATGAGAGAGCAAGTTGCCAGGTCTAGGACTCAAATTGCAGTCAGCCATGTGAGAGTGTAGTGCCCTTAACTGCCATACCACCTACTAACCCCTATCTTCCTTTTTTAGAGAGATTTTTGCCATAGGGTACATGCACTTGCCAGAGAGACAGAGAGAGACAGAGAGATAGATAGCAAGAAATCACCCCCGCCCCAGGGGGATGGCCATGCCGCAATCCCTTCTCTTTCATTCATTCTCCTCTGGGAGTTTTGGACATGCGTGCACACATGCCCAGAGTGAGTTTTAAACTGCTGGGTCTGAGACTCAAACCATAGTCAACTACATGGCAGTCCAGTGGCGTGACAATGACACCATCTTCTGGTCCCAATATATCTTCTTTTTTTTTAATCAAAGTTTTTTGGTTCTTCTTATATAGATCTTGTACATATTTTTGTGAGATTTATACCTCAGTATTTCAGTTTTGGGAGATTATAAATAATGTAAACTGTATTATTCATGTAATAATGTAATTGACTTTTGTATATAAACCTTGTATCTTACATCCTTACTATTACCCCTCATTAGTTCCAGGAATTTTAAAAAAACCTTTAGTAAGCCTTTAGTAGCCTGGGTAGTCCTCGTAACCTTGTAGTTCTGCCCACCGCTGCGGGTTTTCGTAGCTAACAATGAGGAAGGAATTTATGAGTAATGGTTTGGTTTCTTGGTACAGCCATATAGCATTGTTAAGCTCTCTTGTGTTTATTTAAAGTCACTTGGTCATAGACACCACAAGTCATGTGAGCAAGCAGTCTTGGTTCCTATTAATTATGTGATTATCAGTTTGATCACAAGTTAAGCGGTTGGAGATAAAAAGACAGTGGCCTGTGGTTTGGACTTAGTGGAATCTTTTGATGAGAACTTAAAACTGAGTTAAAGATACAATCTTGAGTTTAGATAGTCATGGGCAGAATTAGTCAGAAGTAGTAATTCTGTATATTCTGGTAAAGAAATAGTGAAAGAGCTGAAATCAATGATTCAACACGTATGTATCACTGAAGACTCAGAGTAGGGCTAAGCTCCACCAGGTGAGTATTAGTGGGATAGACATGTGGATATGCAGGATTCAATTTGGCTTTAAAATCTCAAATGACGGATCTAGCCATTTGGGGAGAAAGGAAGATGTCCCACTGATAACTGGGCCTCCAGCATCCAAAACTCACGTGAACAGCCCTTCTTCAAGAGGCAGACAGCTCCATGGCTCCTGTGAT